ATTGAAATCATAATTGTCTTTTTAATATTGGAATACTATCGACAATATTATTTTTGGTATATTTCAAATATACCACGTATAAATATAAAAAGTGTGTAATTTCTCTCTGTTAAAAACAAAGTAAACAAAAACCAAAACGTAATTTCAAACTTTGAAGAAAATTTATATAAAAAAATTAATTCATATGTATATAATAATATAATAATAGACAAAAGAAAAAAAAAATGTTATTAACGCCTTGAGAAACCATGTGATGAAAATTTTAAATAGAAATTTTTTATAATTAATAATAATAATAATAATAAAAAAAAAAAACAAAAAAAAACGAATTAAAACAGAGTCGTCGTAATAATCAGTCATTATGACTGACTTAAATCTAACGTTTAAGGAATTTCTATTAAATGAAACAAGAAATTAATATAAATTGATCATATGTATATAATAATAATAATAATAATAATAATAGACAAAAAGTTATTAACGCCTTGAGAAAACGTGATGAAAATTTTCAATAAACATTTTTTATAATTAAATATAAACTATCATTCTATCTTTCAAGTTGGATGAAACTGCACAAAGTGTGCTAAATTTGATTAAAATTGGTTCAGTAGTTTAGGAGTTCATTGCGGACAAACAACGTGACACGTAATTTATATATATATATATATCATTACGTCATTACGATTAACATAGTAAAATTTAATGTAAATGAAAAATAATTCTAGATAATGTAAAAGAATATTTTAAAATAATAGTTATGTAAATTTTATATCATCTTTAATCATTTGTCTTTTGTATTATATATATATACATATACACATTATATGCAGTCTTAAACTTGCATCATAAATATTTCACAATGGATGAACATGATTTTTTTTTTGAATTAATTTATTAAATATGTAACATTAAAAAACTGCAATTTGACTTCGATGCACATCGACGATATCATCGTCTAAGGTAAGTAAAATCATAAATGAGAAAAACATTGCGAATGCTGATAAGAAGTGCCAAATATCGTGAGAATCAAAGAAGTTTAATAACACGCATGGTCTATTAAATAGACGTGATTGGGCAGGTGTTAAATTCCAAGATATTGTTTTATGTATGAAGAAATATAATGCAGCTGCCCAGAATAAAACTGCGAATATGATGTACATTAATGGTTTAAGTAAAATTTTTTCATTGTGGCACAACTGTAAAAACAATTAATTATTATGTTAAAAATAATAAAAAAATTGAAATCTATAGTATATAATATACAAATTAAAAGTAATAATAATATAATTACCTTCATTATTATATAAAACAATGTATATAAAATTAAATTGGACATTAAGATTGCTAATAAAAATGTAGCAAAATTTTTCTCATGATATAGATTGCCATAAACTGATAAACCAATGTTACATAAATTTGCAATAACAAGCATTGCAAATCTTCCAGCGTAAAGTGGTCGGAATAAATATGTTACTCCGCAACGTGCATCATTTTTAAATGTCTACGAAAACACATATAATTAATGTAATTATTTAGAATCAAATCTTATTTAAGAAAAACAACAACATACAACATACTTGATAAACCCTAGAGAAAAGGCCTCTGTTACATCTCCAACGTCCCATGTAATAAATCTGTGCTGTTAAATTTAAGCAAGCAAACAAATGGGTGGTCGTAAATATTGCCCAAAAATATTTCGAACCGTCCAAAACACCGACTAATCCTAAAAGTATAATAAGGGCCAATATTCCAAAAGTAACCGGAGCTCTTGCATTTATATCAGGATGACGAGTTTGATAAATTTTTATCATACATAGTACTGCTATTATGTACATAAAACTAGTATCTGAAAATGCATATATATATATATATATACAAACACAATGTAATAATAATAATATTATTTTCTTAACAAAATAATATGAAAAAAAGAAAAAAGATTTATAATATTACCAAACTGAAAGTTACTACGACTTGGACAAATGTGATAACTTCCTGAAAGAACACCTTCCATCATAAGTGCAAAACCCATTGCATAAAATAATCCATAATGTTGTGGTATTCCATAACATTTTGAGTTTAGATTATCAGATTCTGCTAATTCACGTGAATACGTTAAAAATATAAATAATAAACCAAGTAGTACGTATCCACAATTTGAAAAGACATGATTGAAATCAGATATTAATCCCAATGGATGAGCACATAAGAAATTGTAATAACACATATCTTGATTTCCTGTAGCATGAAGTACTCGTTCATATGTTATTACCAATTGCAATACAGGTAATGTATAAAAAATAGCAACTGTTGCTAAATAATATAAATATAAACGTGATTTATGCTTCAAAATTTTGGGTTCTTTTCGTGCAAGATCGCACACTGAGAGTACAATCTTTGTTCGTATTACTTCTTTATCTGAAAGAGCATCTTCCATCATATCTATGTCGTCCTCGTCCAACGAAGAATCTTCTTCTGCCGTTGCCCATTGACTAGGACCAACCTGACAAAATAATTTGTCTAAATAAATAAAAATATAGAAATAGATTTCTTTTTTTTTTTTAAATAAGAATTTTGTTAAATATCGTACCGCTTCAACGGTTGAAGGACTTTGTAGATTTTGATTAAATTCATTGTTCCTATCGGTTAACAATTCTTCACGAAGTTTTCTACCTTCCCTAATTTTACCTATGACTACAGCTATCACGCAAAATCCGCAGAACATAAGAATGACAAATGTTGCTATACCCGATGCCAGAATATAATCATTTTTTGTAATACTAGAATGTATACTTAACGTAACATTTTTATTTCTAGGTGAACTGGTACTAAGCACGCCATTACAATCTGTATCATCTCCTTTAACAACTAGTACAACAAAAAATCCTAAAGGATATGCTTCTTTCTGAAAATTATATATATATATATATTTAAATTATTATTAAATCTTTATGTTAGTAAAAAAAAAAAAAAACAAAATAGAAATATTTACAGATACAGTAATACCGCCTTTTCGACTTATAGTTTGCCAATATCCAGAAAATTCAATATTACGTTCCAAGTCAAATACTGGACACTAAAAGATAATTTATATTAATAATTATTGTCCTATAAAATATTAACAAGAATTATATATAAATATGAAACAACTTACTGATACATTTTGTATAGAAAATGTCATGCATATATCATTATCTGATTCAATGCTAACAATTACGGATGAACTTTCAGATTTTTCGGAAAATATATAGCTGTAATATATCGGCTCGGATGGAGAAATTTCAAAGCTTCTTTTCTCATCTGTCCTGTTAATAAATCAAAAGAAAACAATCAAATGATTAAAGTAAGATATTGAATATTATTTTCAAATCAATGTAATAAATTCTTCATACAAATGAATTATTACCTTATATTAAAATCTGTTACCTCTGCTACACTAAGATTAAAAAATATGTTTGTATGACTAGCCGTAGATATACTAACAGAAATATAATCTTGTTCATCAGCATCATGATAAATACTTCTATAATATTTAGTTGAACATAATGTTCGACTAGTCTTGTTATATTTCAATGGATCAAAATTCACACTTTCAATGATAAGAGGAATTTGCCATGATAGAATTCCACGATCTTGTCTAACCACTACTATCAATGGAAGATCAGAAGTAGCATCACTTTCCACTTGTATTCGTGCAGTTTTTAATAATGTATTCTAAACAACAATCATATCAATTAATTCTATATATATATTATTGTTTTCTAAAATAATAATAATAATGATAATAATTTAATATACTTTACATTGTTCGTAGGATATAAGAATACATATTCAATGGTATTGTTTATTGTAGCATCATAATTCTGTGTATAGTTTGCAGATACAACGATTGGAGTAAAGGATGTATCTAACAGAACAGCTTTAGTTTTTAAAATGCTAATAACAATCAACACCGTAGATGATATAAGGAATTTCCACATGTCCATTGGTTGTACCTACTTTAAATGAAAATATTATTTATTAGATATGAATGAATTCATTTAAAAAATAAAAAAACATTAATATTATTTTACCTGACTAAGTTGACTAAACTAGTAAATACTGTTTACTAAAAGATATGTTGAATATAAATTTATATAAAATATCACACGTTTTTTTAATGAAATCTGAAAGAATTCCTGTAAAATAAGAATTTGTAATCGTTCACCATCAGGGGTTTCCCATAAGCAAATATGAATCATCCAAATATTTACACTCACACAATTCTTACTTCATGATGTTGTCATTCACTGATTTACTTATTTATAATTAAAATTATTTAAACGTGAAATAAATAATAATAACAGATGTCTTTTAAACAATTACTATGACAAATAATTTAATTACGTTTCATACTATTGTGTTCAATTATTGAATGTTTTAATTTGACAGGAAATGATATAACCGGAATTACATATGTCGTGAATTGTTTATAGAAAAAAAAACACAATGAAATAAATAAATGATAAAGTATAGAAATATTGGTTAGAAAAAGTTTAAACGAACGTATTCATTATAACAAAATAAATTACAACGATTAATGAAACAATGTTTGAAAGAAAATATCATTCATCGATGCATAATATGTCGCCATTTTTAAATTACCTATATTTTAGTTAAATATTTTAACTGTTATTAAATCACTATTATATTGAATTGATATTAATCATTTTAATAATAATATAATAATAAATAATAATATTTGATCAAATAGATTTAGCAATAATTCATATTATGAATTATATAATTTAATAATAATGAAATAGTTTAAATTGTTTTATTATTACAGACAAATGTTTACTTTTGAACTCTGTTTTTTTGTTTTTAACTTTTGACATATGCAACCATATGCAACGAAAATATATCGAATGAAAAATATATCGATATAAACATAACTCGAAATTATTACAAATTGCATCGATATATCGAAGTATCGTTCATGTGGATGATTCGAAAGTCATCTCGAATTCATCAGAAGTATTATCAAAGATGGCGGCTACCGTTGTACAAAAGGATGTTCCTACATTTTTAAGATCAAAACAAAATGTTTCGGATAAGGAATTGGCCGAGGAATGGGCGGAACTCGATAATCTATACAAAAAAAAGTAATTTAATGATAATTATTTATATTATTGTTATGTTTAAAATAAGATAACAAAATGAATTGATTCTTACGACCCGGTGACTTGCAGGCTTTGGCATCAGCTAACTCTCAAATTGGAAACGTTTGTAAAACATCCATTATTGCAACAAAATGACAATCTTATACAGTTGTATGTTAATTTTCTGTCAACGTTTGAAAGCAAGTAAGTTTAAAGAATATAATTTTTGCATTTTTGATTTATTATACAAATATTTAACCTTAATTCTGTGTGTTATGTTTTTCATTAATTATGACGTTTTATTTGTTTTCAAATTTTTTAGAATAAATCCATTATCGTTGGTTGAAATAATAGCACACGTTATTCAACAATTTCAAGATAAACAAGAAGCTATTCAATTTTTAGAAAAAACAGAATCCAAAGTAAAAAGCAATAATGAAGCGGTAGCTTTGTGTAAGGTTCTAACGGGACAGATCTTACTCGACCAATTGAATAATCAAGAACAAGCTAAGAAGATTATAGAAGATGTTGAAGTAATGCTCGATAATGCAGATGGAATTACCACTGTTCATGGGAGATTTTATCTTCTTGCTAGTAGATTGTATAGATTACAAGGAAAACATGCAGAATATTATCGTACTGCATTAAGGTTTGTCAATTAAAATATTATATTTTCCTATTGAAATCTCATAGTATCGCATTACAATACAATGTTAATTTAATTCTGTAGATACTTGGGATGTATCGATTTAAATACCTTAGATAGACAAGAACAAGAACAACATGCATTTTTCCTTGGATTAGCTGCACTGTTAGGAGAAGGAGTTTACAATCTCGGTGAATTACTTGCCCATCCAGTTTTAGAATCTTTAAAAGATACACCTAATTCATGGTTGGTAGATTTACTTCAAGCATTCAATGCTGGTGACATTGTTGCTCTAGAAAAATTAAAACCCCAATGGAGTAAAGTTGCTGATTTAGCTGCACAGGAATTAAAATTAAGACAAAAAATTTCTCTTTTATGTCTCATGGAAATGACTTTTAAACGACAAGCAAATAATCGACAATTGACATTTACTGAAATATCACAGGAAACTCGTTTACCTTTAGGAGAAGTTGAATTATTAGTTATGAAAGCTCTTGCTCAAGGATTAGTACGTGGTGCTATTGATCAAGTTGCTGGTACCGTTCACATGACTTGGGTTCAACCACGAGTATTAGATCGTAGTCAAATCGCTGGTATGGTTCAACGACTTGACGGATGGTGCAAAGATGTTAGTTCAATGGAACATTTATTAGAATCCCGAGCATCTGAAATATTAACCCTTTAATTAATAAATAACTTTCTAACTTCTGACTACTTATTTGCAAATTGTACTTTTATATCTTTTCCAATGATGGAAGTAACAAGTTTTCACATTGCAAAATATGTAAACTTTGTTCAATTAGAGGTAAACGAGTTAATTAAATATATAAAAGAAATGATAAATTTAATTTACAGATAACATATTGAAAACTACAATTTCATCATTCTTATTTAGAAATCTATATAGTTTTGTTTATAATGTATCAATAAAAAAATATCATTAGTTATTTATTTACAGAACTATTAAATAATCAATTTGATCATTAATGCATTTCACACAATGATAGATTTTTTAACAATCTAATATTTTAGAAATAAGTCAAACTATATTGAATAAAAAATTACAAATGAATTATATTATTAAAGTATTTAATAATAGAATACTCTTCAAGAAAAGAAATTTTTTCTTTTTTAATTTTATATATTATTATATTTTGTTATAAAATATATAAATACTATGGAGGTTAGATATGGGTGGCGCCACAGTAGCTTCAGGGTAAATTTTAAAAGAAGCGCCAAATATTATTAGAGTAGGATTGAGAAATAAACAAAGAACACAAATTGTATCCATAACTGTTTTGTTATTCACATACTTTTTCATAAAATTAAATGATAAAAAATCATTAAACGTACTATTCACAGTTCACGAAATAAAATCACTCTAAATTCTTTAAGGTTATATTTACTACATTATTACATAATTTGGCATACTTCAATTCGTTTACAATTGCTACATTCATACCATACCTTCTGTCTACACCAGCGCCATTCTGGAAAGTTTTTGAACTATTATTTATAGAAAATGCTGGACACTTTTCCACATTTTCTCCTATAAGAGATATTACCCCTACCCTCCATAATAAATACCTAATTGCAGTCAGTGATACATGTGGCGACATAAATCAGGGTTAGGTTAGGTTAAAACACCAATATTGTTAGTTATATGCATAAGTACGCATATACGGTTAAAAGTAAAAGTGAGTAATACAATTGTTGCATTAATAATCTAATTAAAATAATTGTTTAAATATTCTCGTTTAAAAGATAAATGTTATCTTTCTTTTTGTAATGTTTTTATTATATTTTCTTAAGGGTTAAAATTACCAAGTGATATTTTACGAACAGCAACTAAAATTGTAGGTTAGAAACAATTGGTGTTTTTTTTAACAATTAAACATTAAAAATTAAATCTTGATTAAAAGATTTAATATAAAATATATAATTTATATATATATTATCATTGAATTAATAATATTTCTTGTCATTAAAGAAAAAAATAAATAAATAAAAATGGATAACATAACCACGTTGAAAAGACCCAAACCAAGTGATAACGAGGAAGAATTATTTCAAATGCAAGAAGATTTTTTACAAAACAAATTACAACCATCAGCCAAAGTGATCAATTTAAGAAATTCAAATATAGATCAAACTAATTCTGTACAAAATTCGACGACTAAATCTGTAACATGTTCAAATGAAAAAAAACTATCTAAATTTGCTCAATTAAAGAAACAAAAATTAGGAACAGTTTCAACGTCTCAAAGTACAGGTGAATTATTAAATGCAAATGTCCAAGAAAAATCTACAAAGATTTGTGATGTAGTACAAAATGTACCAATAGATCATTCAAAAATAATTCTTGGAAATATAATAGAAAAGAAATTGGATGTGAAGGATATGAAATTTAGTTTCAATACAGGATTTAATAATAATTCAGAAGTTGCCTTTCCAAAAGTCTTTGTTTCTGATACTTATGAGGTATTTATATAAATATATTTATTATACTTTATTAAATTAATTTAATAATTCAAATTTTATATTTGTTTTAGAGAACGTCAGATAAACAGAGTTTATTTTCACAAAAATGTTCACAAAGGAAAGTAGTTGCTGATATTTCTACTAAAATGGAATGTGAAGAGGAGTTTGATAAAACGAAGAATGAAGATTCTGATATTGCATTGAATTCAATAGCTAAAGAAGTTCATCAAGAAAATTTGAAAATATTGAAAGAAATGACAGAAGAAGAAATACTCATGGAAAAAAAGAAACTTGAATCGTCTCTTGGTCCAGAGTTAATAAAGTTTCTAAAAAATAGAAAAAAAGTAAAGACTAAAATGGAAGTAGATAAATCAGATGTTCAATCAAATGAACTTGGTAATGATAAATGTGTAAAAAATAAAGAAAGTGATATGGAAGTTATGGAATGTGAAAGTAATATAGAAAATATACCAAAGACTTGCGAAGAAATTTTAAAAGAGGCTAAGGATAAGGGTTGGGTTCATTTGGATAACGTAGAAGTTGAAAAATTGCAGTGGATGAAAGATATAACAGAAGTAAAGAAAGATAAACCTGCACCTGATGAACCTTACAATGCTCGATTTGATTTTAAAGGTAAATTTAATTGACATATGTATACAATTATAAAATATTACTTTAATATGCTTATACATTTATTTTGTATTTTAAAAGGTTTATTACTTCCTTACGAAGATGAGAGTTTATCATGGGATAATGGTCTTCATCATCATGGAGAAGAACCAGAACGTCCTGGCTATTCTTTACAAGAATTAATACAACTTAGTAGATCTTCTATAAAACAACAACGTACCGTTGCTTTGACTACTATTGCTAATATTTTAGAAAAGAGTAATAAAGGCTTGTACGACAAAGCTTTGTCACCAGCACCGTTAGTTACGTTGAATCAAAATAATTTCTTACTTTTATTAAGATATTCATTGGATGATACAACCGAAGACGTGATTAAGGCCGCTCTTCAGACATTAAGAGCGTTTATTTTTAGCGAACAAGATGAGATTTGTTTGGATAAATTATTTGGTTGGAAAAAATATAGAGAACCTGATTTGCGACCTCCATCAACTGATGTCAAAGATGAAAGTATATTGAAGGACCATGAACTTGTACAATTAGATGCTGTTTCTACACTTCTAAGAACAGATATTATTGTAAGAATAAGGTTGTATAATATTTCTATTCGTTATTAAGTAAATATAATTCATAATAATCTTATGAATTGTATTTTAGATATATCTTGGGTATTAAATCATTTCCAACTGTTGGTTTGGCGTGTGCTCTGGAAATATTAACTCGTCTTACAAGATATTCACTTACAGTTGCATTGACTATTACAACTACTCCATATTTGTTGGATACTATAATTAATAATTTAATGCCTATATCTGTTAGTGGGATAGGTAAGTGTACAGAAACATACACATAAATAAGATTATTGTATTCTTAAAAAATATTAATATTGCAATTAACAACAATATTTTTGTTTTAGATTTCAAGAATCCTGATGTTCCATTAGTCGAGAGTGTACGTTTTTGTCGAGTTTTAGTTTATTATGGTGGAAAACCAGTTGCCGAAAGATTAATTAAATTAAATATAATTGAACGCATTTTATCTTATATCGAAGATCCAGCAACAACCGAGTAAGATTCTATAATTTTAATACTAGTATTTGTTTTTGTTGACATTAATAATATTAAATTCTTTTTTTTTAGAATGACTCGTGGAATTGTATTGAGAATAGAAAGTTATAGACTTTGGAAGTTGTTGTTAAATTACAATTTAGCTAAGAACAGCTTAGATGGTATACAATTAAGATTTGTGATGGAGTTAGAACACTTTTTAAGCAATCACGATATCACAAAGGCTTCAGAATACGAATGTGAATATGCAATTGCAATCATGGCTGTATGCAGTACCTTGCCTACGTTTAAGGAGAAAATTAACTTACTTATATTAAAATGGAGTAGACAATATTATCTATTATCACGTAACGTAAGTTTTGATAAGTCACATCATGTGTGTGTGTGTGTGTGAAATAAAATGTAACTTATGTTAATATATTGTATTATAATTTTGTTTACAGTGGCATGCTTTAAAATTATTTTCACAAGCAGTGCTAGCTGTTAACGATTTAGTAATGTCGTCAATTCATTGGGTTGTATATCCATATATATTTGAAGAATTATGGTAAGTTTTGTTGTTTTATTATATTAATATTAAATTAAGAAATATTTTTTAATATAGAATAATAATATTGATTTATATTTTAAACAGTTATAATTCAAATTTATTGAGTACCTGTATACCTGCTGTTGAACGACAACATTCCTTCTTGCCAAATCTTGGAGTAACAACAGAAACAGGCCTATTACAACCGATTATATCTTCTACTTGCATTCCATTTCTATCAGTGATACTGGATAAGTTTATTCACGAATCCTATGAAGAAGGTATTTGGAAGATATTCAATCAATTAGGTTTTCAAAAATATATTCAAGAACTTGAATCAACTAAATGGGATTTAGAACGATCGTGGTATACGCAAGTAGAGTATTATTTTCTTATCAGTGTTGTCAAAGCTGCACAACTTATTAGTAGAGCATTAAATTCAACGATGAAACGTAATATTTGGAAAATATCTGTTAAACTTATATCAGCGTTACCAGGAAACTTGTTTAATTATGTGATAGATATGTTGGAAATTGCTTTACTCAAAGACAAATTAAACGTGCAATTAGTAACTCATGAACTATCGAAATTAAATTTAAATCATGCCAATAATTGTACGAAACAGGACATAGTTAGTTTGTATAAAAAGTACATTGAAAGACATTTAGATTGGACTCAAGCAGCATTGCCTAAAGATTGGTTTTATTTACCATTGGTACATATTTATACAAAGTGTAGACTTAATGAAAGTGTTACAGAAGAAGATACAAATAATATTGCAATGATATTAGGTTTAGAAGTAACTTCACCTTATTTTGTTGCAACGTTATGTCCAACGTTAAGATTCAGTAGATTAGTCTTAACATATCTGTGCGATACGATTTATTTAAACAACGATATATCCGTTTTATTAAATATTGCAATGGAAGAATTGATACAAAAGTATCACAAAAAGTTAAACTTTACCAAAGATTTACCAGGATTAAATTCTTTTGTTGATTTGTTCACTGCTATGTGTGAACACTTTTGTTCTACTTCTTATGGTGATAATAATTTTGCTTCAGTATTATTAATTCCTATCGCACAGAGACATGATCCTCATTATAGAAAATTGTTGTGGTCAGAACATGCTGGTGTACTTCGATATTTGAGATTACCTGTGAATAAGTTAATGATTCCTTTAGACGAATATTTATATCCTTTGGAAGAAGATACATCGTTGATTGAAACATATATAACAGTACTCGTTAGAAATACTATTAAACCAGAATGGTGTCCAGTACCATATACTATTGCACTTCATCATGCAGCTATGTATTTAAAACGTACCACTAAATTGGCAATTAGAATGAAAACACAACTAGAAAAAATACATGATCAAAAGTTGATTGATCTATTATTAAATTACKAACAACCACCAAAACTGTAAAGWWACAWAWTTAYTWATWAKRATAATTGTWTWRWAAAAAAAAAAAAAAAAAAWAATAATATTAAAATCTCAATTTTATTGAATTGTTAAATAATTTATTATTTAATTGATAACAGATAGAATATTCGCATTGAAATATTTTTACAAAATATAGGACCACTCGTAAAACAATATCTAGAAATGTTGTTAAGCTTTGAAAACATGATTTTTGTTTTTTTTTTTTACTTATACACTAAAAACAATATTTAATTTCTATGATAGTTGTATTAGAAAACCTTTTTTCAAAAAATAATAATACGCAAGTAAAATAAACAGTGCAGATTTGTATTTCATAGTTTAATTTCAATACTAGACTCGCAGGTACAACTCATTGAAAATATTCATCATATTTAATAAAGAATAGGAACGATTAGTATTAAGCACAGAGGCACTGTTTGGTCATTTGAGCTGGTATGAATATCAATATTAAATATCTGATTAATTTAACCGAAAACAAATTGACAGAAAATTATCTAACGTAACTTTTGTAGAAATAATATATCTCTTGTTGATATTACATTTTTTTTTTTTTTACAAATATTTTTCATATAATATAATATAATCTCTTATTGTTGTGTGTTGTTACACGAAGCCAAACATTTTAAATCAGTACGAGCATTAATAATACTTTGTGTAATAAAAATCTGAAATGATGATAATCATAGCAATGATTAGATTTTGATAAATGTTCAAGAACAATTTGATGTTTAGTTTTTATTTTTCATTTTGAAAAGATTTATTCATGAGTTTTGTTCGCATTACTGTATACATGTGTATATCTATATAGATTGGTCTCTTCTTTCTTTTTCTTTATTTTTTATTTTTTTTTTTGTTAACAGCGAAAAGCACATAGCCAAAAGTATATATATATAATATATATGACAAATATTATGAAGAATCCTATAAATCTTATTACATAGATATATATATCTTTTGCGATGAAAATATATTTTTATATCAGCGTTCAATTGTATAATTTAACTAGTCGTTTTTTTTTTTACAAATTAACGCCAACATATATTAAATATACATATAAATTTAGTCATTTTTATTTTGAAAATATTTTATATAATGATTATATTTTCAATTTACGAACTGATATGTTGTTCGATGTGTGCGAGAACGATCGTGTTCAATAATTCTATCTTAAATCATTTGTTTGAACGTCTTTCTTATTTTTATTTTCTAAATTCAAAATCATTCAGTGCTTTTTTTTATATAAATATATATATATATTAATTGTCATTAGAATACATTATGAGTTGCATTGATATTTTGAAAGCGTTCAAATTTTCGCGGGTTTATTTCATTTCAAATATTTCAAATTATATTTCTGGCGAGTAATTAAAACTTTAAACGCATTAATAAATAATTACATATACATATTTATATATGTTAATAGTAATTGTGATTTATGCATATACAGATGGTAAATTGCACTCCATTGAATATTATCGTTCAAAGCAAGCATTTCGATCATCAAATTATAGAACTCGCTTTTGCAAATATATTTATGCAACATTTGTTCTATTAATCCATTCATGTAATGTGGCAGAACATCGAGAAAGCATTACATAAGCAAAATATTATCTTGTTCTGTCATTTCTTATAACATTTTTATATATCGATCAAAACTGAACGAACGATTGATGGTAATTCGACAATTCAAATTTCCCGCATTTATTATAGCTCCTGCGTCATAAGTAGGTGCTGTCACCTATGTATACTAAATACGTTCGATCATTTTAAATTTCCCGCATTTGTTATACTACCCCCTCCGTCCAAAGTAGGTGCTGCCACCTATGCATGCTAAACTTTGTTCGATCATATTAAATTCGATATTTCGATAATACAATATTTATCGTTTATTAACAAAATGGCGAACGCAGTAAGAACAATTAATGGATCTCCGGTGATTATTATTAGGTAAGAATATAAATTATTTATAAAATAATTAAACATTTATTATTAAAAAAAAAAAAATCATATTTTAAATAGTGACAGATAATAAAAAAAAAACAAAAGTTAAAATTAAAAAAATCAATTTTCAATTATAATGTATATAATATATGTTAACTAACCATTGTTATTATATATATTTTTTAGTGTCATAGAATTGAAATGAAAAAGAAGAGGAAAGGAATTAATTATGGCATTAATTCCAATCGCTATGATTCTATACCAAGTTTTCTGTAAGTTTCTCGATCAACCGTAACGAGTCTACCTTCGACGCTGGTACAATCCAGTTCGATACAATGCAATCTGGCACCCCATTCACAATGACTCTGATCATCCTGACGGTAATATTTAATTTGCAGACAGGTGGTAAGGTAACCCGAACCAAGAACCCGCATGGCTATCGAAAGTTCCTCCCGATGACCCCTCGCACTCGCTGGTATTCCCTTTGTGCTGTGATAAGCGCTGTATGCACATGCTGTACCATCTCTTGCACGCTCGATGGCTTCCACTTGTTTTCCTCCTATGCTCAACGATCTGTAAGTTGATTTGATTTTATTTCATTTGATTTATTTTAATAATTATTATTTCAATCGTATCTCATATTTAACATATTTTCATTTTTATAATTAATTAAACTGTTTCTGGTAATGGACATTATACTTGGATCATTTGAGTGTGTTTGATTTTTATTGTTTATATTTATTTAAATAAATTAAATAATTATTATTACAATTAAGATTATTATTTTGATTTGTTCATGTAAATGTTAAATATTATTTCGATTGATTTATAATTATGATGCATTTCATTGTTCAATTCTTTTCATTTTTATAATCTTATAAAATTTGTTATTTATTAACATATTAAATGTACTTTTATTAATTTAAATATTAATATATATGTTAGTAGTTTTATATCGTATTGTTTGAGTGTAATAAATTGATACAAATATAAATATTGAACAATTAGGATTACGATGACATGTTAAAAATTCGCGGGGAAAAAAATAACGCGGGAAACTTTTTGAATTTGGCGCGCTTCGTTCGCGATCGAATTGGACGCGGGAAAAATATTCAAAATTCAAAATTAATTATTATCTTCGTAAATTCATTTTGAATTGTTTAATTAAAAACTAATAGATATTATGAATATTTCTATCAATGTTTATGTTAAAAAATACGTTAAATTTGTTAGATTAATTTTAAATAATATTATTTTGTATAAACAAAAATTCATAGATAAAAATAATCTAAAACTATTGCAAATAAACTCGTGAATTTTATTATCGATTGCTAACAAATCGTGTGAATTGTTCAATGAAATTTATTTTTCCTTTCTAATGCACAAATAAACGCATGAATAATCTTTCATCGAGTTACCAATGCAAAACAAAAACAAAAAAACATTTATAAAATCAGTTAGTATATTTCAAAATTAAATCAAAACAGTTTGAATAGTTGCAATTGAATGATAAGTAATAAAATAAATAAAATTTTCTTTCGTGTTACTTTCGATATGCAAGTATTTGTTTATTTATTTATTTATTTTTATATTTTCTATTCGAATTACCAATGTTAAATGGAACGAATGATTTCTATTTGTATATGCATAAAGTTGAAAACGCTTTTTGTGCATATGTGCATGTCTGCTGCATGTATCTATATATATATATATATATAGTCTCTCGAACGTATATAATAATAATAATAATAATAGAATCTTTTGTTAATGACAATCGATTCTTTAGCAGTGCTGACATCATTTCTTTGAAACTAGTAGAGTGTAGTAACAGGTCGATAGTTTACATTGCCAAGAACTACCAGTACATAGAATCATTTTCTTCTTGAGTATTACCAACTTACAAATTAAACATGAAACATTGTAACAGGAAATGAAACGAAAATTGCATCTAAATAATATTGCTTAAGATAAAAAAAGAAATAGAAAATAAAATGTAGATTATATAATGGAAATATAAAATACATTTGAAAATGTGTTATTGAAAAAACAATATTTAAAAAAAAGAATATATTTTAAATGAAAATAATTATTGCAAAATAATCTTATGTTGAGATTCTAAATTATGGTACATCATAGATATTTTAATATGTGTGTGAAATAAATAAAACTATGTTTAATTATAATCAGTAATTATAAAAGAAAAATATGTTTATTATATATATATATATATATTAAGGGTTTATATAAAGATGTTCTAGGAAGAAGATAGTCCACGTTTCATGTTTATATCTGATGCTCAGGAAGTAAATGCACAACGTGATCAAGCTCGTTCATCTTTTAGTATATCTAAGTATAAATATTGGCTTGTAACATATAAACAATTGTGTTCACAAACTAAAAATGATTAAACTCTAGTTTTAGAATGGTTTGTTCTTTCTTTTAAATATTTAAAAATTTTTAATTCTAAAGTATTTAGAATAAGTATTATATATATATATTATATTATATAACATTTATTTATTTATTATACTTCATTATATAAATTTTGAGATAGATTATACTTTATAGATTTGTAATAAAATTTTTTTTTAAGACAATACAATTTAATGTAAATTAATTATCATATATATCAATAATATCATTTTATGATCTTTATCAATGATAAATCATTTTATTAATATAAAATATGTTTCAAACAAAATTACATGTTATATTATGTGTTACAAATCCAATAAACTTTTGTTTATTTTGATTAACTTTCTTTTTCATTATGAAACGTTGATAACATGTGTTTTATTTAACTCAAGGAAAAATATAGATAAAAAAAAAAAACATAGAAGAAGAGTTAATTTAACAGTTTAATTTAATCTATGATTGTAATCGTATAGCGGGTGTTCGATCAGGAATTAATTTAATCCTTCGTCTAAGCGCGTTTAATGTCGGTCTCGAATAATTGATTTAGATTTTGAGGTATACTGTAGCCTAACATTTAAAATATTGATCAGATGTTTCATCATTATACTTAAAATACATTGAATTATTTTATTTAAATTTTGTTCATTGATAAATATATATATATAGTATAAGAAATAGAATATCACATTACGAATTTAAAATTAAAATGTTCATAAATATTACGGGTGACACACACACATACACACACATACACGACGTTTACATTTTTCGATATTTACCAAGTCGACCATATTTTTACGATTTTCTTTTTTCTTTCCTTTTTTTACTTTTATTCCAATCGACGAGATGGGTTTGGTTCGTTGGGTTGGTAGATGTACCACGTACCATCGTTAAATAAAAAAAGCAAGAAGGAAGTATTTTATTTTGTATTTTTCTATTTTTGGTAATTAAAATAATGAGCAAGTAATCAAATATACTTTGCTTCTTCTTATTATTATTATTTACTTTTTTCCTTTTTTTGTAATTAAATTATTTTTAATGGAAATACTTTATTCATCATTTTATACAAAAAAAAAAAAGCAATCGTTTAGTGAAGTAATTGAATATTTAAAATTCGACATTTAGTTGAAATATTTTTAGAGAATTGGTCTGAAATAGGAGAGTGGATATATGCAGAATGCTTTTAGGTTATTCATACTCGATGAAACCCTTAAAGAGATGTGTACGTGACGATTAACAAAAGGGATGAAGAAGCATAAGCTCTGTCTGGATATATGCACGCATTTAAATGTTAACATTTGCATATTTCGAAAGAGGGTATAATAATAAACACATGTGCAATTTCTATCGAAAATCTCGTGTGTGGGTGTGTGTTTGTGTGTGTTTGTGTATGTGTCTCGTATATTCTATTTGTTTTATTTTTAATATTCTAATTTATTTCTCATCCTCAATACACACATTCAATATTTATTTTCTAAATAATAATTTAATATTAATTACAAATAATAAAAATATTATTTCTATAAATAATATTATTTTCAAATAATAATTTAATATTAATTCTAAACATTAGATTGTCTTATATTCGTAAAATCTAACAAATTACTCTTAACAGAACTTGTCCTATTTTATTTTTTCATTTTTTTTTGATTTTTTTTATTTTTATTTTTATGTTTCTTCTATGCAATTGCATTTCAATAAAAAGAAAAACAACAAAGAGGACAAACTAATTAATTAACAATATTTCTATACGAGATATATGATGATGGGGGTTTGACTAATTTATTGTTAGAGTAAGTAAGAAGTTCATTTCATTTGATCTGATCCAATTCGTTCTAATAGGTATTGTGTCGTAAAAAAAAGAAAGTACAACTAAAGAAGTTACGATAAGTTTCAATTGAAGGGTGGATTATTACGTGCATTCGATTCCTAGAGACCTCGAACTGGTGTCACAATGTGTATTTGTCAATTCACACATTTTCGTATATTTATCATTAATTATAAAAAAAAAAAAAAAAGAAGAAAGACAAACATAATAATACATCAAAATAAAACTTGTTAAAAATTGTCAAAGTATGATTAAATATAAATATGAATTATTTTTAAATGTTTATATAATGTAAAATGTCTCTTGGTAAACGAATATGTTTTTTGTTTTTTTTTTTTTTTTTTAACGATAAATATAGGTGTTTAACAAAAAAAAAATATATCGTCGTCATATTTTCGTATATATATATACATATATGTTACATTTTAAAAGNTACATATATGTTACATTTTAAAAGGATTTTAATTCAGGATAGGATCGTATGTTGATATTTGACGTGCATTCATGCAGGTAAGAAAGGTTCTTTTTTGAAACGTTAAATATAGGTGTTTAACAAAAAAAAAATATATCGTCGTCATATTTTCGTATATATATATACATATATGTTACATTTTAAAAGGATTTTAATTCAGGATAGGATCGTATGTTGATATTTGACGTGCATTCATGCAGGTAAGAAAGGTTCTTTTTGTGCCCCAAACGTGAGATTGCACCAGATGGCACACACGCGATATACCATACCATATACCTATGAATTTTACCTTGAACTCCAAAATTTCAATCGTTTAGTATTTCGATCGATTAGATAATGCGAATTCAATGCTTATCAAATTTAACAATCAACAATATTTCTAATAATTCTTCTAATATATATTTCTATTCCATTTACAATGCAATACTACTACAATTGATTATATTGATCAGAACTTCGATTCTCATTAATAACATTGTTTTGTTATACTACTAAAATAATAATAATAATAATAATAATAGGCCGATAGGATTCATGACACGAACGTCTAGCTAAAATTGCTTTTTTTATAATTACCCATAAGTGGTATGGTAAATATGATTACCATGTAACGTGACTATACTACACCCAAAGAAATAATGATATCTGCATACATATAAAACCATACGTTCAATAATGGTGGACTATTGTTGCACGAAACAACCATAAGTTGAAGTGCTACCTATTTTTATTTTTATTTTTATTTTTATTTTATTTTATTTTATTTTTTTAACCATTCCTTTACCCTATCTTTTTCTTCATTAACCAGTTAACTGAGTTTGACGAATATACTTGTCATAAAAAGAAGTAGTACAATTT